GGTTGGGTGATAGGGCCAAGAGAACCATGACAGGTCAGATACAGCTGACTGGGGACCCATGCCTTCAGAAGCCAGCAAGAGACTGGGGATATTAAAAAACAAAGATGAATAAAAATGAAGAAGAAAGATGAAGAGGCAAGAGAGGCAGACACACAACACAATAATGCAACTCCCCCTCACTCCCACCACCCAAGCCCTGCCCATTGTGGACAAGCACAGTTTTGCTGTCCATTGCTTTCAAAGCAACTCTGAAACTGTTAACCTGCATGTGAGGAAGCTATTGTGGCAACCTGAAGTCCAGATTAGGAGCCAGGGCACAGGGTGGTGATGGACGAGTGTCATGATACAGGGAATTGGAATGGAAAACAAATCCTGAGATCAAGTTCTGAGTTCCTCAGGTCAAAGCCTGAGGCGCCAATGCACCACGCTGAAGGCAGCTGGGCTGCACACGCTCAGTGCTGTTAGCCAAGCACACTGGTGGCCGGAAGCCTGTTGCTGCCCCTCCACCCTCACCTGACAGGCCACAGGTTTCACCCATCCACAGCAAGGGAAGTTGTGGACAAGCTGGAAGAAGATGGGGATGAAGTCTCTCCTTGCTTCTGAGCACCCAAGAGCACAATGGGTGATGCCTAGGTGAACGGAAGAGACTTTCCTAGGCCATCCTGACGTTAAGGAACCTCCACTCTCCACACTGACTTCAGATGCCTACTCATGCACAGGAATGGGTCCCCTATACTCTGAAGCCATTCCTGATGTGTGCTGATAAAATAACCCCAACTCTCATCACAAACACAGGAAACATGAGTGCACAGCACAAGTAGCTGCCACAGAGGCAGGGTGGGTACGCTGCGACAACCGTGAACTGATAAGCGCAAGGCAGAACAACCATTTCTAAGGAAGGCTTTCCAAAGAACAAAGTAGGCTCCTTCCTCCCAGCCACAGGCACTGTCTTTTTAAAAACAAAACAAAACGCTGGCTCTGAATCAAGGCCAGCGGCTTCCTGACACTGTTGGTTTCAAGCAGGAGCCTAAAGAGATGTCTTTCTATGGTCTGTTGGCCATTTCAGAACTTGGGCAGTGAAATGGTCAATTCATTAGAAAGAAACAGCTTGAAGCAACCTTCTCCCCACCCCGCCCCCATGAGCGGCTGTGAGTGTGGCAGACTGCAGTGGCCCAGGACTGGAGCCACCGGTATTTACTGGAACCCACGCCATGCTGAGACCTGGAGCACCAGGAAGCCAAGCAACCCCTCCCTGCCTGCCTGTTTTGTTTTGCTGAACTTCAATACACATGAAAGTATGGACAGCTATTTTGAAGAGAACGAGAGACTACGACAGCCATTAGTGACTTCCCTATTGTCTGGTTCTGAAGACCTAAAATGCCTTCCTCATTCTGTTTGGATCAGTTTTATACTATGCTGTTTTATATAAATTCTCTGTATGTGAAGACATGGACAACTATTTGGAAGAAAACAAGAGACAACATGATAGATAGTGAAGATCTCAGGTCATTTAGGTTTAAAATTCATATCTTACATTGCTTTAGTATGTCCTATTTTGTTCCGTTTTGTTGTGTTTAATTTTACCCTCTTTAAAATAAAAATTAAAAACCCCTTTGTTAGAAAAAAAAAATGGACAGAAGGGATACAGAATTTCAAAAAGAAAAATAGGAAATGAACACCAGTTACTATATTATATACTGTCATTTTAGAAGTAGTTATTCAGATTACAAGATTCAGGCATGGAATAAAATGATCAAACAATCAACAAAAGCACAAACCTTTTTTGATGAACTTATAGAAATTAGTAGCATATCTATCTTGTATATACATATATTATTAGTATCTATCTTGTATATACATATATACACATATACATATGAATACCTATATACATATAATCTCTTCCTTTCTTTTCTCCTTTTCCCTATCCCAGTTGTTCTTTCCTTTTGAGCACTTTCTTTCCCTTTCTTTTTTTTTTTTTATCGATACTGGGGATAGAACTCACGACTGCCTGCTTGCAAGGCAGGCGCTTATGCCACTGAGCTAAATCCCCAGCCCCTCCCTTTCATTTTCAATACCTACTGTACAATTTGGATCTTATTACTGTCTCAGTTTTTGTACACTAGGAAGATATTTACACATGTGAATCTGATTTATTTCACTTATGAATTTGGTCTCAAGTTGCATCCATTTACCTATAAAAGCCTCAAGTTTACCCTTCTTTGTAGCTGAGTAGTACTCTATTGTATAAAGATACTACATCTTCTTTAACCAGTTGATGGGCATTTGGGTCATTTCCAAGGCTTAGCTATTACAAATTGTACTGCTATAAACATGAATGTACATATATTGCTGTAGCATGATGTTTTCAATTCTTCTGGGAAAATACCAGAAGGGAAATAGCTAGATTGAATGGGACCTCCAATCCTAGTTTTTTGAGGAATCTCCACACTGATTGTCGACACTTCTACCAGCAGTAAAGAAGCATTCCTTATTCCCCGTAGCCCCACCAACATTTGGTATCTGTTGATTTTTTTATGGCAGCCATTCTTTCTGGAATGAGATGGAATCTCAGTGTTGTTTTAATTTGCATTTCTCAAATGACCAGTGATGTTGAACATTTTTTCATTTATTTATATGCCATCTCTATTTCTTCATCTGAGAAGTATCTTTTCATCTCAGATGCTCATTTTTGGATTGGGTCTCTGAATTTGGGGGGCCTGATGCTTTTTAATTCTTTATATGTTCTAGATATAAGTCCTTTGTCTGAGGGACAACTAGCTAAAATTCTTTTTCATGCTGTGGGTTTTCTTTTCACTCTGTTGGTAATTTCTTTAGAAGTAAGGCACTGTCTTCTAATCAGAGATGAAGACAGCAGAAAATGACCACAGATACAAAGCACAAACACCAGCAGAAAAGGCTAAAATGGGCTTGTGAGGTTGAGAGAAGAGAGGCATGAAATAGCATTTCCTTTTCTCATAATCTTTTTTTTTTTTGTTTTGTTTTTTTTCCTTTTTATCGGTACTGGGGATCGAACTCACGACTGCCTGCTTGGTTATGCCACTGAGCTAAATCCCCAGCCCTCATAATCTTTAATGCCTAGCATGCATCATATTTTTCTTCTCATCTAAAAAGTTGTTAGAACAAAGATAATGCAATTTATGAAAAATGGAACTGGAGGAGTACTTAGTTCCAGGCCCTAGAACCACCTCATGAGAAAAAAGCAAAAGAAAAAGTTCAGAGCTTTCAACTCTGCAAGAGGTCACAAAGCCCAGGATAAAACCACAGAGACAGGGCTGGTGGATAGCTACTAACAGAGCTCTTGCCGAGCATGTGCAAGACCCTGTGTACCAGCCTAGCACTACTGGAAGACAACCACACAAACCGTCACAGTGACACAGGTAGACAGTGCAGCAGCAGCAGCAGCTTAAATCCTTCCACTGAACGCTGTAGTGCTACTGGACTTCGTACCAGTGACCTTCCAAAGTGCTATCAGTGCCTGCTTCTTCCCTAAATGAACTGGACATGTGCCTCTCTCTCTGGCAACCACAGAAGAGCAAACAACTTGGGCTTTAGGCCCTGTGAAACAACTTCTTATGGTGGCTACAACTGAAAGAGCATAAATATACTTCGTTCCTGAATATTCTCAAAGGCACATGCCTTTGTCTCAATTTCACGCACTAAAACTTCTCCAACAAAAAGTGGGCTGGGGTATAGCTCAGCATTAGAACACTTGCCTAGCATGCATAAGGCCCTAGGTTCAACACCTAGCACCACCTCCACCATGCTGCTTCAATCTATCAACAAAGAAAATACTGCAAAATTATTAACTCAAAACATTAAGACACACTCACCAGCCAAGATGAGGGAGAAGAAAACCTAGATGAAAAAGCCCAGAGTGACTCCCTAGGACCATCCAACCCACTGTCATCTATAACCTGAGCATAACTTCTAACCCCATGGGAAACAGGTTTTCTGACCCCAGAGCAGGGCAAGTCTCATAGAGGGCAGAAGGTGAAATTTATGTGAAGAGCTGAGTCTGACCTTCGAGACAGGAGTTAGATATAGACCTCAACAGCTAATGTAGGCCTTCAAGTCTGTCCCTATGGTGACCAATGTGCCATAGTCACATGAAGGACATCCGAGTGAGGACTCTGCCAACACTTTTGGACACAGCTCATCTGTCTAGACTCCCCGACCTCAAACAGAGATTTTCACCCTGGTAAGGCTGCTCTACCTCAATGGCTGTCAAAACCAAATCTCAGACTTCAAAACCTCTAGACCCTCTATCCTTTTCTCTTGTGTATAAAGTCAGCTCAACACCATCAAAGTAAAAAATTAGAACCTGAACTTCAAACTTGGAGTGGCTGCCCCTCAACAGATAACAGAGGCAGGTAATTTTTCTTACCTTCCTAGCAGGTAAGAAAAATAAAAAGAGGGAGGGAGAGAAAAAAGAAAGACTTACGTTGAAGCACAGGGCAATGAAAAATGAAGGCCATTACCAACATTCTTTCACAGTGAGTCTTGCCAGAAATATACACCATCACAGTCTAGTCCTTGAGACGCAGAAAAATATTTTCCTAGCAAATTATGAGTTTAGAAATTTCTGAAATCCAGCCATGCTAAGCAAGCACATTCAATAATATTGTCATGGACAAGTTTGTTCACGTAATATATTGCTTTTATATTGACTCTAACAAATGCGGAAAGACAAAGCAGACAGCCTTCAGCATAGCCCTAATACACACTGAGCCAAAAATGGAGAACATGAAAGAGCTCTGTGACCTGTGCACATTACGACACAGCTTTAAACTCTACTATCCTGTCTTCCATTGCTTCAGAATCAAGCCAGAAACTCCCTCTAGCCAGGCATTAATCAGTTCCATTGATTTTACCTTAAGCAAAGCACACAACTGCTGCATTTGATTACAATAAGTAAATCAAATTTTACCTACTGAAGCCAGCACAGTATATCTGAGATACCCATTTACAGTCCTTACTTTTAAAATATTTTGGGTTTCATTCCATTTGTTTGTCCATTCCTTAGTCAATTCTTGAACCTAAAAAGAAAAACACACAGATGACATCACTTCATTGAAAACATTAGTTATGATTTTCTTTAGAAAGGTTCCAAGTGCTTTAAACCTTATGGAAAGAGGTACTATAAATTTTTTTAAATTAGCTTGCAATTTCTACTCCGGAAAGAACCACCACCAAGTATAAATCACATAAGCTAATCTCACCTACAGCCCATGTTATGACAAAGGAAAGGGCTGACAGAAATTTGTCAAGTTGCTTAAAATTTAGAAAAATATTTTTCATGCTATACTTCACAAAAAGCCGCTTTTTGGATTATTAAGCAAAATTGCAAGTTCAAGGATGACAGGGCCCCATTACATGGGATAATTTTTCCTGACTATACTCTAAGTCCTAAGAAACACTGATTTACTTTCCTTTCTAATTAGATGTGGTGATTAAATCACCTCGATGTTGCAGTTTTCTTTTAGGAAATAATTTGCTGTTGTAACTAACAGGGTTTATAAATCTCATTCTTTTTTTTTTTCAAAAGTTGTTCTTCAATTGGCTTTTAGTAAAACCAAAAACATTTTGATAAAAATCAGCTTTTTCTAGCTTTTACCGCTAACCTAGGAAAAACATCACCAGTTATTAAACACAGCATAGTTGGAAACTGCTTCTCAAACTTAATGTGAATTTCCTGCTAGTTTCAGAAAACTTTTTAGATGATCTTAGTGATTAATTTGTTGAGAATCAAAAAGTGATGCCTCAGTCAAGAGGCAGGAAATAAACAGGAATGAAAAATGCATTCTGTGGGAAGGAAATATGGAGGGCTGAAAGCAGCTTCACCAGGAAGGCCCTGTCCCCTGGGGCCTTTGCCTTTCTGTGTCTGTGTCCACCCCCCCTCCTGCTCCCAGCAGCAGAAAGCATCCCACCTACACCTCCTGCTCCTCGCTCTCGCTGAGAAGAGGAAAGTGCTTCCTGGGGCAGCAAATAGGAAGCCCTGACACCAGAAAGTGAGCTGCTGACACCAGAGGCTGGGAAGCCATGGTTTATCCAAGCAAGAAACCAAGCACATATCTCACCCACCCATGCCAGCCACGCAGCGCCCATTCATTCTGTCCCCAACTTAGTTACCTCCAGGGGGACTGGAGTGGGGGGCGATTCCTGAGTTTAAAAAAAATGATTCTTTTACCAGTTATTACTATCAAACTCTATTCTTTGCATCAGACAAAAAGGAGAGAAAGAGCCTCTTTGACTTTGCTTTGCTTGTCTCCTTGTCTCTAAGGTCCCGGAAAAACCACTCTGACTGACCTGAAGCAGCTCACATTACAAGCCCTTCGGAAACCAGCCCCAGGCTCTGGGCCACAGTGAAAGCCCCTGGGGACTAGGACTTAAAGTTCTAAAAACCATCAAAGAAAGGATTCACTTGTGTTTCTTCTCCCCACAGCATGAAAAAGACTGGCATAGTGAACTTACTAATTTATACTAACCAGTGAACAGATAATTCATTTTCCAGTAACACAAATCATTCAACAAATGATTCTGTATTTCACTGACAGATACATTCTCACTGAAGCAATGCACGCCAATCAACACTCTTCAAATTCAGTCAGGTAACTCCAGCTTTAAAAGTTACAAGTATGCCTTGGATTTACTTTATCACTGTATTTAAATCAAAAATGCTTCACTGGAAACATTAACAAAAAATGCATACATGTGATACTACCTCTAGCAAAGTGATCAGATATGAGATTTATAGTTAAACAGATGGCAAACAGTTTATAAAGGTCAGCAAGAAACTAGACAAAATGATATAAACAAGATAAGCAGTCATTTCTGTCACAGCATGTCTAATGCATCCATATTAAAATGTTTACTACTTTCTATTAACTTGCCAAGTATTCCTAAAAACTATAATTGAGAGATAATTTAAGACCAGATCCAGATATTTCATAGCACTCAAAATTAGAACTAAAGCACTAAATTAGACAATTCAAGAAAAAAACTGAGACTAAGAAACTAATGGTTTTACTAATGCTATTATCAGCATATTAACTAACATAATTACCCAAGGACGTGTCAATAAGACCTTCGGAACTACGACTCCTTTTATATTCTCCATATTGTGCATTTTTGAGTTTTTACCAATAGACTCCGTTTTTCCCCCCTTCATTCTGTTTTAATCATTTAGCATCAAGAAAAAAAAAATTGACTCCAAAAATTTGTTTCTCTTTTTCCCCAGAAGTGTTCTGTTTTCTGGGTTTTTTAAAGCCTGGAACTCGGTTAGCCACAAAATTGACTTTTCAAAAGCCCCAGCACACTCTGCTGGCTCCCTGGTGAGCAGCTCAGCTATGCATCTCCCCAGGTTATTCAGAGTGCAGGGTGGTCTCCAGCCCCCTGGGAACAAGGGATGACTAAGTGCTACCAGGGCTCATGGCTGAGCACAGCCTCTTGCCCCGGGACTCCTGGGTGGTCCTATTCCCTGGTCCAGAGGGCCTGGCCTCCGTCATCCTGTGCCACTCAAATCCCATTTATGAAGTCATAGATAACACATCCAATACCTAAATAGCCAACTATTTTGCATCTTTAAAATGACCATGAGGTTGAGTGCAGGACAAATTTAAAAAAGAAAGCGTGTCTCAGACAAGTACTAGAATGTATGAACCAAAAAAAATACTAGTGTATAGTCAGGCGTAATGGTGCATTCTGGGAGACCGAGGCAGGAGGACTACAAGCTCAAACCAACTTGAGTAAGTCAGTGACTTCATGAAACTCTTTTCTCAAACAAACCCAAAAAATTACTTTGAAAATGATAATACATAGTGTATTAACTATGATACTGTTTTGAAAAATTTTGTTTCATTTTTTTCATACAATAAAAAAACTTTTGAAGCTACAATGTTGGGACAAGTTAAAGAGATGGTACAGGAGAGAATCGGTGATGATGAACTAATCTTAACAAAAAAATACTAAGGCTTATAAAAAAGGGAGGTGTGCTGGGGATGCAGTTAGTGCAAAGGCTCTGGGTTCAGTCCCCAGTACCACCAAAACGACAACAGAAAAGGATGGGAAGGAAAAGTAAAAAGGATTAAGATGTGTTACACACATGTACTAACTTTCCACAGTGAATAGAATAATTACATGTTGCCAACGTACTGTGCTAATAATTTGTTTTTTAAAGTAACAAATCAAACTATCACTTACTCTCGCTTCATTTTGCTGAAGTTTTTCCTCCATACTTAAAGCTGTGGGAGAGTCTAGAAGGGCGATCTAGAATTTAAGTCACAAAAGATGGCAGCAATTAGTAAACAGCAATCATGTGCAGTAAGGCTTCACTTATAAAGTCAGTCTATTAACAAATTTCCACAGAAACTATTGGTGGTGAAAAGTAATGCCACATCCCCCACCCAAAGTATCAGTTGTCACCAAGTCTCTGGTCTGTAGTATACACATCTCACAATATCCAAAACTAGGGTTTCCTGATAAACCTACATTTGCAATATGAATCAGTGACACGAAAGTTATAAAACAGACATGCTACCAGTGCAAAAATCAAACACGACCTAAGGCCCCTGGTCTTAAAGACCTTTCTACTTGAACATGCTGAAAATGCAAATCCAAAAGGCAAGAACCACATCTTCTGAGTTGTATCCATGGTGAAACATGCGAAGGAAACTACTTTCACTGCTGGATGGCATTTAGCATTCGGCATGGTGTCTCACAATTTATCTATTTATTTTTTTACCGGGGTTCAGGTTAGAACAGAGAGGGACAAGTGGACAGGAGAGGCAAGTGGAACCACGTCTGGGCTCCAACTGCACTCCATACATTTCAGTTCTGACCACCTTTCTCCCTGAGATATCACGTGAAGAAGCTACGAGGGAAGATCCCTCTCCACCCGCTGGCAGCCACCCTCTTCCTAGCTTGTTTCTAAACCTGCACTTAGTCTAGTCTCATGCAAACATGTTTTTGTTGTGTTTTTAAACATAAGTAAAAGAAAAATACTACTCTGACTATTGCTTTTTCAATAGACAGACAAAATTCAGTAAGAAGTAATATAGTATCACACTGTATAGACAGTCTATAATTCATTTTGTACTCTCCTGTTAACATAGTTTTTTCTAATCTTCTGCTTTACCAGCAATGCTACAATGACTATCCTTGTACCAACTGCTTTCAGTATACACAGCTGTATCAACAGAATAAACTCCTAGCAGGATATTTGGGAGTCCTCTATGTGGATGATTCTTTTTTAATGGTCAAGGTGTCCTACCCAGAAACTCCAGCACAGATTTTATTACTGTTTAACTTTCCAACTTCTATTCAAACAAAAACACCCACAATGTGATCTCGTTAAGCTCTGTTAAATGCCACACCTATGTGCATAGCAGAGAGAAGAGGGGGTATTAGGGAGAAGTACAGCTACTGGCTTGTTGGTGTGAACCACACTTTTGCTACATTGTTCTGTTGGGCTGTGGGTTGGTCAGCTTTCCCATTGCTGGCATGCAATACCTGATCATATTTTAAGACAATTGCCTCCATTGTCAACTGTATGCAAGGAAGGATCATCATGGCAGAAGGCGATGGGAAGCAAAGCTGCTCAGTTCATCGAGACTAGCAACCAGAGTAGGGGGCCAATATCAGAAAGCAAAGTGTGAGGGATCAGACAGATCATGAGATTACACTTCCATGACACATCTAGACACACTCAGAAGTGTGTTCCACCAATACATTGGGTACATCCCAAAGCTAATCAAGTTGACACTCCACCCCTAAGTACCACATCCCACCCTTTCTCAACTTCATGCCCAAACACATCTCCTTATACCACCCTTAATAATCAAAGTCAATAAACTTATTCCAACTAACATAAGACAACCATTCCACATACATTCAGAAATGCAACAATCCATTCCCCAAGGTCTCAACAGTAGTTCAGCATTTTTTTAAAGTTAAAGATTATTCTGATACTCAAGGCAAATTTGTGAGTCTTTGTAAAAATAAAAAACAAGATACAATAGCACAGGGGAAACATTCCCATCTTAAAAGGGAGGAAGACGACAGAAAACAAATGAACCAATGCAAGATTAAAATCCAGCAGGGCAAACATTAAGTCATGTAACTCCAAATTCCACATGTATGTCCAGGGCACAAAGGAATAAATGTGAGTTCCAGATGGTTCAGGCAGCCGCATCCCTATGATCTTGCTGGTTGCAACCCATATACTCTCTCTTCAACATCTACTCTTGGACAACAGCCTTCCTCAGCTCAACTCCCATTTTCCTGTCATCTCCAGCTTTCTGGAGTCCCCAGTGCACTTTGGCTTCATTTCCACAGCTTCACACTGCCCTCTCAGGGATTCCTTGCCTGGACTCCCAGGGCTTGGAAATGTGGCTAAACGCCTTCCTAGCCCCATACTTGTATTTTGCATGCCAGTAAAATCAGTTTCATTTGGGCAATGCCAACATCCGCTACCAATACAGTATGCAGCAAGGGTCCCCTTGGAGCATAGATGAAGCAGCTTCTGGGAGCCTGAATGAATGAGAACAGTGAAATAAATCCTAGGGAACCAATTCCCTAGTCTGCCCTTCTCAAGCAGATGTCCAAAGGACTCTGCTCTCAAGAGTGACACTTTTATAAGTTTGAGCTTTCAGTAGATGAGTCTTGATGATTTCTGAGATGCTCTCAAGGTATCTTTTGTCTTTCCCCGTGCAAAGTACTTGGTTTCTTATTAATGGTGCTGATGTATTCAGCAACCGTACCTCCTTTGGCTACAACTTTACACATGATACCTTTTAGGCCAAGGTTTAACTTCTCCAATTTTTTCTGCTCTGCCTTTCTGTCTCCAGCTCTCACTATAAATCTGGCCACAGCCCAAACACAGTGTTGCTCTGAATTTTCATCAGCTCTTAGTCCACTGTTGTTAATCTCCCAAAGTCTCCCACAAAATCTCAGAACATAGGCAAAATACAGACAAATTTTTCTGCCAGACTAAGACAAATGACCTGAAGCCCAAATGCCAATGGACTCCTTGTCCCCAACTAAATCTCCTGAACCTGGCCTTTACTGTCTGCTTTCCCATCAGTATTCAGGTGTTCTGAGCTCAGAATCGTTTATCAGACTCTACAGCATTCTAAAGTTTCTCTAGCCCACATCTCCAAACCTTTCCAAACTACCAGAAAAACAGTTCCTCAGGTACAGCCAAGCAACAATTCCACTTCTCTAGAACCAAAGCCTATTTGCTAGACACAATATCGAACACTCACAACTTAATCATACAAGAGCGATTTAGTTTGACTCATATCTAAAGGCATTGCAGTCCACTATCAGCTCACTTCAAGGCATAAACAGCCTGGCAGAAGGGCATGGTAGAGCAAAACTGCTTAGTTTGTGGCAGCCAGGAAACAGCAGGAGAAAAGTGATGAGGAGGAAGGAGGAAGGGACCAGAAATAGACACCGAGGCCATGTCTCTATGACCCACCCAGATACATCCAAGGTGGATCCTACAGTCAATCAAATTGATACTCTACCCTGTCACAGGTTATGGTGTTTTTATCTTTTTATAGACACTGTTGTATCAGGGAAAGTAGTTTTTCATTATTTGAACTAAAACCTTTGCCCTACTTTGTATGTTACTAAATAATTTCCACACTGTTATGTACATATGTCATGTTCTCACTTACTTCTATCTACCTTTGCTGACAGAATGCCAAAGAAAAGTTAATGTTTCCTGTGGCAAATTTGTATTGCTCTATAACCTGTTCTTTCCAATAATTTTGTTGTTGTTTCCCCTTCTGAAAGTTGAAGTCATTTCTAGTTTTGAGAATTGTGCTCTGTCATGACAATGTGATCATTTTTTAAGCTCATACTGTTGGTTCTACATCACTTTTTCTCCTTTGGATGACCAGAAGCCTCCACTCATTCTTATAAACACAACTGAGTTCTACTTTGTGATACTATCTCAGATGTGTCCATCTTAAAAGTTTCTACCCAGGAATACTTCTATTATTTAAAATTTGTTCTTCCCAGCTGAAAAAAACAGGAATTCATTCTACTTTCATCTTCTCTTCCTCAGTATCTTCTTTGCTGCTTAACTTTTCCTGCTTATTTCATTTCTGTATTGTTCAATTTATCTGTTTCCTGATACAGTCAAGAGACAAGTCAAGACATTCTCTCTGCCAATATAAAGACAGAAGTATCTTTTAAAAAGTCAAAATATAATAAAAGAATAAATGCTTGATAACAGAAGATATTTAAATGTTCAGCTTCATTAATCCTCTGCAAAGTATAAAATAAAATCATCCTGTGGTATTAGTATATGCTTGTCAATATGGTTACAATGAAAAATGGACAAAACCAAGCAACTAAAGATCTGCAGCAACTACAACTGGCACCACTTTGTATATCTTACGTCTTTCTGAGACAGGATCTCACTATGTGTTTCAGGCTGGCCTTGAGCTCACTTTGTAGCCCAAGCTGGTCAAACTTGCAACTTTCCTCGTGTGTCAGCCTCATGAGTGCCGGGATTTGCACCACTATACCCGCCTACCGCCATATATTGATGGTGGTGCAAAGCTGTATAACCATTTCTAAAAACTGGCAGTATCTACTAAAACTGAACATGCACACACCTTCTGACCACCGATTCCACTCTTACGCACAGACCTCACAGAATCATACCAGTGTATTTGCTGAAAGACACACAGGAGAAAGTCTCTAGCAGCATGAATAGTCACACATAGGAAAATGTCACTCAAAAGTAGGATAGATACTGAGCTTGGACAGGTGCTGGCAATAGAATACAAAACAGCACTAAGGGTAGTGACCAACAACTCTGTGCAGCAATGTGGATAAACGCACAAACACAAGGCTTTGCCTCTGGAAGTCAAGAAAGTGTTACCCCTGACAGGAAGGGCAGGAAGCTCTTGGACAGGAGCTGTAAGGGCAGCTTCCAGGATGCAGTGATCTTAGGTTTCTTAAGGCTGCTGAGTAGATGAGTGAATTCGGCTTGTGAAAATTCACAGAATGATATCATTTTCTATATATTTATATAATACTTCAATAGAGATTTAATGTAAACATACATAAAAACTATCACATCTACATTTATGCAATGAAAAAAACAAATACATGTCAGAATCTTCTACTTTGAAAACTGCTTTTAAAACTCTGATGCGTGACCATTTCTAATGACAAATACATAAAATTATTAAAAGTAAAAAGCTGAATTTGATTTAGGTATGCTTAAATAACCCGAGAAATTTTTGATGAACCAGAGCAGCATTTGGCATAGAATACTTCAGGAATATAGCATTGTCTTCAGTAAGATTTATACAGAGATTTTTAATGAGCATTTAAGAACACCTGCTAATTTCATTAAGCATTGCAAATGTAATTGAGAACAAGCCTCTATTATTGTCTCACAATAATTTATAGCTTCAGAGTAAATCATTTTAAATTCAATGCCCATGTTCATTATGGTGTAGATATTAAATTTATCAAAGAATTCTACCCTCAGTATGTTGTAAAATAGGCTTTCCCATCCTCACTCCAAAACAACAGTAACAAGAATACTCCCTTTTCTCTAGCAGTAGTGTCAGAAACTCTACTGTTAGTGAAAGAAACAAGATCACAAAATGTAAGGCAAAATGAGGGCATACCAATTCCACCAAAGATAGTTTAAGATAATTTGTGAAAGTTTTAATAAATTATAGTTTTTCTGGCTGTGTGATGAGGCTTCTCTCAATTTAGCTAAAAAAGATGTCTCTGTTTTTCCCTTCATTCTCTTCACCTCATAAAGGATGAAGTACAAGATGCTCTACCAACAATTTTCCAAATATTCTTCTTCTTTCAATGATATTATGAAATTATCTTTAAATGCCTACTTAGATGACAATGTTTTTAAAACACTAGAAAAGGATCCCACTAACAAAACAAATAAGTAACATTCTGGGGCTCATCTATCAGCCAGCAACATCCACGCAGCTGGCTGTCCATGCTGACAACTTTCACACCCAGGAGCCCCGCCTCACAGATCCAAGGACCAGAAATGTTTTTAAGCATAAAGAAGGATCCCTACTGATTGCTGTTCACCATCTTTCTGGAAAGCACAGCCAAGTTTATTTCAGGATGCAGGTAACTCAGGGCAGTTTCTTTTCCTGTCAATATTTTCACAGACAAAACCACTTACAGGAGGTCAAGAGCTTCTAGTGCCACAGCTGTTTACATGGGAAGCACTGCTCTAGAAATCACTTTGTACTTAAGAGAAGTCTTTCTTTCAATGATATACTTAAACCTATTCACGAGGCACAAAGACATGACAAAATATGTCTTTATTAATTTCCAACTCCATTCTGCCTTCATCTATTTAAAAAGGCACCCGTGATTCTCTTTCAAGGGCAGTCTCTCTTCTAGCCCTACCACAACTGCCTGCATACTATGTACATAGAACATAAATGTATGTACGCTGTTCACCCTGGAAGAAAGTTAACCACAAAAAATAAAAATCACAAAATGACCAGGTTTCTTCTCTAGTACCCCAAATGCTCCTGAAGAGAGGCCATTTTAGTAATCAAACTGGACCCCAGGGAAAGCATCACAGCCAGGCCACACGTAATACTAAGTCACTGATGGGTGATTTGGAGACTCAGAAAGGTATTCAAAGGAGCCTTTCATTCCATTAAAACACATTTTAAAGTCATAAAATGCATGGGTAGAATTTTAAATATTACTCTGAGCATCTCAATTTCTTTCCACTGATGGAGATTATGCTGCTAATCCTATGCATGCTAAATTTCTATTCATAATTGATAACTATTAGATAGTTAATCATTTCAGGTTTAGTGGATAAAATTTTCCTCACAGAGCACATAATGAAGGCAAAGGCTAAGAAAAGGCTGATGGAGAGGAGAGACTGGTTAACTCATTCAAAGCTTTACTTAGCACTTATTTACTCAAATCAATACTATGAGATAATTGTCTCATTAAGATCTAGAAATAGACACCATTACTCAAAGAAAATTATCCATAAATCTCAGAAAAATCCAACCTGATTTCCTTGAGCAAGCAGTGTTTTCAGCCTGGCTATTTCAGCTCGCAGCTCACGGATAAGTTTGACGTTGGCATCCTCGTTAATGGTAGGCTTGTTGATGATGTTTTTGGCTCTATTTGCATAGCGAAGAGTACTTAGGGTTTCTCCATAATTGACATCAGCAGGTGAAATGGCTGTGAAGAATGAATGCAGAAAATCATTTATCTAGCACTCCATGTTTCATTTAACACAAAGTTGGTTTATAATTTGAAAGTCAGATTAACCCCAGGTCACTGGGTAAACTAAATATTCATTGCAACAGTAATGAATATTAAAAGTTTTTTAAGACTTACAGGAAAGCACATTCACGATACCAAACCAAATGTAGTTCTGCTCTTCTCAAGAATCAACCACTCAACAAAGTTTAAAATAAGATATGAGATATCCCACCCTAGTTAAAGAGTTTTCTCAGTTCCAAATATAAAAAGAGGATTTCAAGACTATCAGTACTTCTAAACCATTAGGCAGGAATTAAAATAATTTTAAAATTTCAGGCCAAGCTTACCATCTGTAAAAATCTAGAGCATGACAATTTTTAAAAGAGTCAATAGACTCATTAATTCTTTCCTTCCGGAAGGCTCTAATCTCCGCCCCCCACTCCTACCACCAAAGTTTAAGGATGAGCTGATTGGCAATTCCAAATGTAGCTTGTGCTCCAGGCAAGATCCCCAGCTTTCTAGTTAACCACAGGGCATGGGCACAAGAGGGAAGGGGACAAGAGGGGAGACCCCAAAGGGGAGGCAGAAAGAGAGCAGGGTGAATACAGAAGAAGTCCCGAGTTCTCCCCAATAAGTATTCACATTCTCTAACCATTTTTCTCTCTTGTGTTTCTTTTAGTTAACTGGTCAAAATTTTTAAACAAAGTATATTATTCATCCCTACTTATTAGAGTTTTTTTTTCACTCCAATTTTATTTTAAATTCCACATCTACTGCTTTAAGTAGAAAAACAAAGTTGAGTTTTCTTTCCTGTTCATATGGTGCCTTTGTCCTGTGAGGTATGAAGCTGTATGTTTCTACCACATGCTTTATACAAAGAGAAGCCAGCATCTCCGCATGTGATCACAGCTTCCACCACAGGACAAGGGCTAAGCAACAGCTAATGACCCCAGCTGCAAACTGCTCACCTTTAATGACTAGAGAAACCACTATATTTTGAAGAAATAAAAGGTGCTATATCCTAATGAGACACTTTCAACTGAAATATTTACAGTTAATTCACAGAAAACATTGGATGCTCAGGAAAATAACTGAAAACTCTTACTGGCAATCATGATAGTTTTAGAGTTTCCTCCAAGGCTATCTTTCAACAACCACGTCAAAACGGAGTCCCTGTAAGGCACAAAAACTTGCTTCTTCCTTACAAGAGGGTTTGTTGCATCCTGAGATAAATCAGCTGTAGGGAAGGAAAAAACAAAGGAGAAGAAAAGATAATTATTAAAGATTTTCTTTCTCCTCCAATTTTGTTTCAAAAACTAAAGACATCGTTGTCTATTTGTTAGACAACCATTAAACATAATTGGCTCACACTAATACAGTACCATGAGGAAAAAGAGGCAGCAGGAGGCCAGCACACACCTACCTAAGGCAGAAATGACATTTCCCAGAGTCACAAGGGACTTGTTAATGTTCCCTCCTTCCTTGAGCCGGACTCCTGTGGCACCGGTGGCATCGGCACGCTCACTTCCAGCAAGATCAACTAAGTGGATCTTACTCACGGTTTCACACGGCATTTCTGAGTCAAACTTTGCCTGTGGTGGAAAATAAAAGTAAAACTGAAGGAGTACAAGGAGCCCTCGTGCTGCTCACAATGCAAATTCTAATTATTTTCCATTCCTTGCTGAGATTTCTCACCATGGATCTTTTCATTTTGTTATTATATTGCCCTTCACACTGATAATAGAAACTTCCAAAATTAAATCCAATACAACAGAAGTTGGCCATGTGGGACTCTTAAGCCTTCTAGAGAACCATCCCACTTCTGAAACCCTCCTGTCACCAGCAACAGTGCCCAGCTGAGCTAAGGGTGGTGAGATATGTAACCAGGCACTAAGGGCCACTCCAGAAGGCAGAGTGTAAGAAAACAGGCAGTTTCTTAGTTCTCAGCTAGAATCTCCAGCACTGCAGCATGGCAGGCTCTCCAAAACAAATGCAGACAAGGTGAAAATCACTCCACTGTTATTTGATGTTAAAACATTGTCTCACTTTTTAAAAAAAAAAATGTAAACTACTAAATAGGATATTCTTTGCTTTTGAAGTCTACTCATATATTACTTCTCCAAAGACTTTTGTTTTATGTTTTGAACACTACTGGAAAAAAAAAAAAAGCAAAACAGATTTTACTACAATGATTTTACTCTTAGAAACCAGAACCTAACATCCTGAGCAGGCATTAACAAGCAAGCAGGAGGAAACACAGCAAACGTGCCTAAGCCAAAGCCAAGTCTACCGGAGATGAAGCCTTTGGAATGTACAAAGGAGCGCTCACAGCAACCTCAGAGAAACCTTCCCTTTCCCTGCTACCTGAGCCTCCTCATCATTTCTGATGTGTTTAGCTGTCAAAGTGGGTGAGGCCTGATAGGTGCCTCCTTTTTGTATCTGTGAGTTCTGCTCTCTGTGCCCTCAATCACATCCACTCGGTTTTATGATGTGCTCCCCCATCGGATCACACTGAATTCTTATATAAGAACTTGGAGATGCTGGTGGCGCTGTAAAGTCATCCTTATAATCATAACCGCCATGGCAGGGTGAGTTCCACAGAGTGACAATGTGCCACCCAGATTCCTCACCTTGGCCTCCAGCTGTCTGACTCATAATCCATCACATCCCACAGGGTTATGACAATGAAAACTCTTGCTCAATTAGGCATAGAGTAAGGTTTCTTTCTTTCTTTTTTTTTTTTTTTTTTTTTAATGTCTAGAACAAAGTGGAAGCCTGCTAAATATTTCTGAAGGGTACACATCAGGACATTAAAAATTACTGTGATTGTAGCCATCATGAAACCCTGAGCACAGCACAAGTTCCGCTCTAATTAACAAGAAAATGACAGCCAGTCACCTTTGCTTGCTGCCAAGTCTGATTCAACAATGATGAGTCCTCAGTTGGTGCTAATCAGAAGGTTAGGACCATGCGGGGATGGGGACAGAGATGGCTAGCCCCTTTACCGCGAGCTGCCCCTACCTGAGTGAACTTGATGGTGAAGATGGCATGAGACCTGCTACTGACATCGTTCATCCCGGTCGCTGCTGTGGTCCGGTTGATATTTCCTGCATCCATCAATTCTTCCACATCACCATAATTCTGTACTAAATGTTTGGATAAATCTAGAAGAAAAAGAAAAAAGGAAGGAGGAAAGAAATTTTCTCACTATACAGTAAATGGAGTTAAAAATTCTTCTTGACGCAATAATGCAAGAATAATTCACTTCCACTCTACTGACTGTTCAAAGGTTTTCTGTGTTTCTGTAGGGTGGTGGTACAGACAGGGACACAGACTGTAGCCAGGACAAGTTGGTTAGCATCACTTGACCTCAATTATGCCATCTGACAATGTGTAGCTATTATACAATACTGTATTTAGGATAGATGCTAGGTACTAACATCAACCTGTTAAGATTAATCATGGTACAAGAAAGAAAGACAATGCAAAAGCACTACCTTTATGCAAAAACTAAAATTCCACCCACCCTCATCCCACACCAGCAGTTAAAGCTAGGGCTTTTGCACTGAGCAAATTCTTATCTCTTTTTTATTTTTATTTATTTTTCTACTTTGATTTTTATTTTGAGACAAGGTCTTGCTAGGTTACTGGAGTCTAGGCTGGGCTTGAACTTGGGATTGTCCTGCCTCTACCTCAAAGGGCACTGCAATTACAGGATGCACATCTGGCTAAAAGCCATTTTTTAAAGCCTTTAAAAAATTTTTAGAGCCAGGAGTACTGAAGTAAACTAATAATTCCAACTTCTCGGGGGATGAGCCATGAAGATCACTAAGTTTAAGCCTAGTGTGTGGTGAGCTTACCTAACATGGGCTGGCCCTGGACTCAATCTCTGGTGCCAGAAAAACAAAACAACAAAACAAAAAACAGATTTTTGGAGCATTCATCTAGGTAACTCTAAAGTTCCACTGTGCAAGGCAGCCTCTATTTCTCCTACAGCACCCCATGTCCCTTTTGTGATTTTCTCAACTATCAACCTTGATGAATTGAGATACGCTAGGAGGTTAGCAATGCACACTTGTGTGGTGCTGTGAGGGTGTTTCCTGAGCCAACAGGACAGCACACTGACAGGGCAGACATGGCCTGAATGTGGCACCATTCGCGACCATCAGCTACCGACCCAGGGGGAATAAAAGTGAGACCAAGAAGCCGGCAGCACAAGCTCTTCCTCGCTCTCGCCACTTCTGCGCAGCCCTGAGGTGAGCTTTCCTTCATCCTACCCTTCCACCATGACTCTGCCTCACCCCCAGCCTAAAAGCAAGAGCCAGAAGACCATGGACTGAAAGCACTGAAACCATGAGCCAAAATAAACCCTTCTTTCCTTTAAGTTCATTTCAGAATGTTTTTGCACGGCAACAAAAAAACCTGAGTTACCCACCTTCTCTCAGGCCATCAAGTGTTACCAGTACCTGCATCCCCTCTAAAAGTAACCCATACATCTAAAGGAAATGGAATACACACAAAACCACCTATTCCCCTTGCACGCAGATAGTATCATCTGAGGCTGAGAATAAAACTCAGTGGCAGAACTCACACCCTGCATTACTGTGTCCCTTGCTTGATTTTCCAAATGCAATGACATATTATAGGATGTTCTGGGACTGGGGGTACAGCTCTGTGACAAGAGTATGTGTCAGCACGCACAAGCTGGGTTCTATCCCCAGCACTTCAAGCACTCAACCAACCAACAAAAAGGAATCTTGTGTACCACTTAAGGGGACTTCTCATTCATTTTTCAGGCTACAGAGCTTTCAATTGTAGGTGTGCACTTTAACCAACTTAACCAGTCTCCTACTGGGACTGTAGAAGTTGTTCACAGTTTGTTTCCAATACCAATGCTTCTAGCTAAAAATAATTGTCCACAGGGGTCTTTTCAAATGTGTGGGAATGTTTCCACAGAAAAAATTCCTAGAAGTGCAACTGTTAAAAAAATGCACATTTGAAATGCTGCATACTGCAAAACTGTTCTCCACAAAGGGTGAATTACACCCAGCTGGAACAACGTTAGCCCTAACCTCCCAACACTGTCTTACACACTGACTTATCTCAGCCAAGGACAGCTGACAAATGTCACCTCAAGGCACTGATTATGTTCGAGTCTCTCTTACTTTTAAAAATCATGAGTAATTCTATTTGCCTAAACGATGTAGTCACATCCTTGGTCCATTTTTCTATTTGGTTGCTGATCTGTCCTTATTTATAGGTACTCGTTATATATAAGGGAAGTTAGTCCTTTGTCTGAAACACAAATTAAAAATAACTCCCCATTTTGTAATTAAGCTTTTAACTTTGTTTACAATGTTCCTACCAAGTTTAAAATTCTGATTTTTTTTTAAAACTATTTCAAATTTAACTTCTTTTCTTTTATGGCTTCTGGGTTTTTAGGTTTTTAAAATCTTCCATCCTCTAAGTTTCTGGGAAAACATAACCTATGATGTCTGGTTATTTTATTATTTCAATTTTTACATTTAAATCTTTAATTCACTTATCATTTCTCCTAGTGTAAAATCTACACAATGATACCAATTTATTTTTCTCCCAGAAAACATAATAATCCATATTCCCCCAACATTTGAATAAAAGCTAACTACCTCCATGTACCTAGGTCTGACTCTAGATGGTTTACCCAGTTTGATGATTGTGTCTCTTCTTCACACACCAGTTTTACATGTTCTAACTTTTGATAAGGCAATTAAAAGGCAAACATGAGGGCACATGATGTTACGCAAACACGGTATTAAGCTAAAATCTATTGACAATAATGCCATCAAACAACTATGTAAGCACATAGCTTACTTTAGGCAACAGAAAGGAAAATGCACTAACAGAAGTTTAATAAAATATAAAGGAGCTCTTACTGGTGTACCCAATTTCTTAAAGTGAAAAAGGGAACCAAAAAGATGAACAGATTTTGAAAGACACCATGCACCAGAAAGCACGCTTTCCAGGTGCAACTCCTGCCAACCACTGAGTAGTAACGGCCAATTAGCGAGGGCCAGTCCTTGCCATCACTAGGTGTGATATTCCTCACAAATGACTGCGCCACAACTAATCCATCACAACGCACCAGCTGAGAGGAAATCCTGTAAGTTTTTCTTAACAGGCAAGAGATCTAGAATACATTTTTTTTTTTTTGTCATATTGTATCAGTAACACCACACTGCTAAGATATAAAGCCCTGAAAGAGATAGGTACAAGCATACTTACCTTGCCAGAGAATGTTGGGAAACAATTGCCAGAGATTTCATAAAGCCAGGAGAAATCTCTAGTAAGGCTCACAAAAATCAGTGAATGCTAGTGAAGTATCATTAAATGAACACTGTAGTGATAGTACACACCATTTTGACAGTAATAAAACTCCGGAAGAAAGGAAACTTTTTAAATCTTCATTATGCTACACTCTTTTATTTGAAAGTTTTACATTTAAATAAATCCCCAAAGGATAAGGCTGTGAAATATTCACTCTTACCCTCAACATAAGGTCCTTCTTTTGGATGCTCGCGGACTCTCAAATTGAAGGTTTTAGATGACTTCCGCCTAAGCAGGTCTCTCACACGTTCATTATAAATTTCTAAGTAGCTAAAAATTTTAAATAGAACTGAACTCAGAAGCAGAATTTTGAGATCTTAATAACAACAGCAACAACACCTACAACAGCAGCCACACACATGTATGGCAGTGGCTGTGCCACACAGGACACACAGCACTTCAGAGAATCTCACTTTCTACTGGCTTCATTTTATAGGGCAGATAGACAAGGAGTAGAGGGAGGAGGCCTCAAGTGATTTAAACAGCTTATCCAAAGGACATAAAGTCACGGAGCTACTGAGGCCACACGGCGGTGGGCAGCAGAGATTGACACTTCATCTTCGAAACCAGTGAAAAGACTGGCTACCCACACAAGTTTACTTCAAAGAACAGCTGGACTTTTCAGAGGTTAGGTTTATGGCGGTCCTACCATCACAAAGGACAACACAAGCCTCCTTCAGCCGAACCAAAGAGGCAGTAACTGGTATACTCCACACATGTCAAGGGCTCACCCCATTTGAGACAAACAGTGAATGTTACCATTTCTGACCAAGCTTTATGTTATTTCCTATCCAAGTTGTACCCAAAAAAGTTACTGAAAACCTAGTGTTTCAGCCTTACTTCAACCACCATACTACAGAAGACAGGGCCCCCACTAGGAACCTGCAGGCCTCGCCCCTTCCTGGTAGCTATGTGCTCCTCACCAGCTGGGCTACGGCCAGCTGTGCGCTTGCCTGGCCATGAGTCCTACCTGACTTCAGTCCGAAAAGATGCCTCATCCCACCGGGTGGTTTCATTTATCCGACTGAAGAGCCCTTCGCAGATCCGAGGTATTAAGCCCAAATCACCCTGTACAAAAAAGAGAAGTGATGCAGATGTCACTGGAAACGCAATCAAGTGATGCCTGAATGCAGCTGTTGCAGGAGAGGCCTCTGACTCCAGAGGCCTGCCACACCCATCCTACCAGGTAAGCCCCGGGCACACCTCCAGGCCCTCCAACCGCTTCTTGCACTCTGGACGGAGCCTTCTCATTCCTACATGGTGGCACTCAAGTAAAATATGACCATGAGCTGCTGTTCAGCTAAATCATGGCTTGTAAACATACAGACTTATTCTCGAGCTATCAAACAAGACAGTCTACAGCTCTAGAATAAATGTTTAAGCTATCTGGTTAAATGACCAAAAAAGGGAAAAATGTACACAAGGAGAAAAAGAAATACTAAGAAAATCTTTGTGAGTCCCTAAGACAGTTAATGACCATCTTAAAACTTTGGTGACAGGGCCACATTAAAGCATGATACAACCCTCTTTTCAATACAGGCACCCCTACACTGACAGTCCACAGAAGATTTTAATAGTTCATCATATCGATTATGCAGTGGGGGTGTAATAGTCATAAACATGTCTCACTCAGCACTAGCAGGCTGGTGACCCTCACAGTGACCCTCAAGATCAGGCATAGTATTCTCATCAGGAAACCAAAACTTCAGCACCTCCTAGCCCCTTCCTACTGTCACCCGACCAACTCCCCACCCAAAGAACAAAGCAAGAATCACTGGTACAGGAGATTTTTTTTTTATTCTTTATACTATGCAGTCAGTGAAAATTCTTATCAAGGAAAACAGCCTTTCACATATTTTTGTTCCTTATTTCAAAATAAAGAATACCCAAGGAGTATTTACCTATGACCCAGGGAAACATAATTTACAAGTACTTTATAAATGTCTGACCTACATAAAACAACTTCCAGGGAATCGATAAAAATATTTCATTTTTAGAGAACCTATTTCCAAAGGCACAGTAGTAGGAGAGGAGGAAAGTAACAATGAAAGGCAAATACAAAGCTTTTGAAATGATCTGCTCATTCCTATTTTCCAACAATGAGGGTATACAGCACAACACTACCAGACTTCTGGTAAAACAGAAACGCCTGGGTTGAGAAAGGCAGGTTCCATGCCCTTCCAGATCCAGCTGTCTGCCGTTGCGCAGCTGCTGGGAGCCCATTGGCCGGCAGCTAGAGGACACAGCCATACCTTGGGACCAGCAGCCCACAGTGGCTGGGTCGTGCTGCAGGCCAGACTATCACTGAAGAGTGCTTCCACTGCAACTTAAGAAAAATAAAATGCACAAGCACCCTCGAAATCTGCAGAAAACACAGCATGCGATGAAGTTCTGTAGTAATCTCCACTTCTGACTCCCCATACTTTGGGACAAGTGTAATGTGAATGCCTGTTAATTTACATAGACTAACTACTAAACTGTCCATATTATGTTTATAATCACATAACCCTTTATAGGCTTTGTAGCACTTAACTTTTTAAATATATTTACTAAATTTATGTTATACCTTTCTATCAAAAAGTTGGATTTCTTTTTTACATTTTTCTTGAGGAAAAAAATGTTTTGAATTATTTTAAAAAGAACAGACTTTGGTAATTTTATTCAAACCGTTGTGTTGGCAGAAAAGGAGAATAAATTACTTGTGGGCCCAGCATACTTTCTTGATAAGATTATAAGGCCTTTAAAAACAGAAAATGAACTGGGAGTTGCATCCATTATTCATGCTTATAAAGTTAAAGCAATTTCTAATTTAAAATCTCTCAAAGGAAATTTACTCCAACTTATTACTTTTATCTTATTACTAAAAAATGATCAGAACATGAAAAGCAAGTTAGTACAGACTGACTAGATAAAAGAGACATTTCTATCAGTCTAGAGAAAAATAATAAGATTCCTTCCCACACAGCATAAACAACGTACAGAATCTCCCATCATAGTGTATGACTTTCCAGATCCAGTTTGCCCATATGCAAAGACACAAGCATTATAACCTTCAAATGCAGACTTCACGACATCTGTGCCCAGGGTTTTGAAAACCTGAAAGTCAGAAAAACACAAACACAAAAGATACCATTACTATGGATGCCAATAAAAGCCCCTGCAGGGTTGGCAATATTCTTGAATGTTACTTTACTCTCTTAAGGATTGTACCATATAAATAAATCACTGTGGAGCTGTTAGCAACAGAATATGCATGTACCCCAGTTTCTCATCAAAAGTAAACTTTCTAAGCAAGACCATCTTGTTTCCTGCTTAACAAATCAATCCTAAAATATAAAAAAATATAAACAAGGCAAAATGACACTCAAGTCTAGAAGATGATTTTAAAACATGATTATTTACCATCCAGGATCACAAAGCTGTTCATTCCACCAGAATCTCCAGAAACTAAACATTAAAGAGTGAAAGTCACGGTACCCAGGAACCGCTGCCTGGACCATGCCCACATCAAGTTCCCATTCCAAGGGCCCGCAATGCACGCAGGCGGGCCTCCTCCGGCTCCAGGTGGTGTGTGAGAAGGAACCATGCCGGAGTGGCTGAGCTCTCATGATGGAGTCCCGACACTTTCTCCCATTTTGGTATTTACCCAGGATGGATGGCATGGGGCGGGAGCGAGGGAGAGGGATGGAGAGCATGCTGTGTGGAGCCAGGGGTTACACTTGCAACCGCCTGAGTCATGTCAGAAGCACAAAATAATTGCAACTTTGAGAATAAAAGAGGATGAAACACAAATAATTCAGGAAGACAATTGATATAAATGAAACAAGTCAATACAAGAGGTCATCCTTGCTACACCTAGCTGGGAAGAGACAACCATAGTCCTGTTATCTCCTGTCCTCTAAGCCCAGCACACAACGGGGCACATAGAGCTCTCTGCTTCAAAAAGTTGGAACACCAGCAACCCACGAGATGTTAAAGACATCTCAACAGTCACGCTCAGGGAGGCATTAAGAAGTGACAGAGGGGTCCCAGTGCTGTTGCTCTGAGAGTGGAGTCACACTGCAAAATCAGGAGGCCAGCTAGATCCACCAGAAAATCACCATCAACTGTGACTGTCACACTGGCCCCACAGGAAAATCACTGGCCCACAGGAAAAGTCTGAGGAGTCCCAGCTGCCAGGCCAGTAACCCGGCCCAGAATCTGAAGCATGTGAACCCAGGAAGCAGTATTTTTCAACCTTCCAAGTGGTTTCAAAGTTCTGCAGAACTGAAAAACCTGGCCATCTCAGTGCTACATTAAAAAAAAAAAAAAAAAAAATTCCTGCTAATAACAGAGCTGTCATCCAAGGATGCGAGAAGAATGCAACCAAAAGGACTTCGGTTTTCTTCACCACCATCTTGCTTGGACTTTATTTCCTCATTCTCATTAGTAAAAGATTTACAGACTGCTGTTTCAAGTGAGTCACTTCCACAAATGGCCAAAGCCACTCATTCTGGGTTAATGTTTACTCATTTCGGCTTAGGCGCTCTTATTTTCTAATCTTATTCTCACATTCTGATGATTTAGTTCACGACTATAATAGCAGCTCATGTTTACTGGACACTTGCCAAGCCCCTTCACGTGTGATGGATTAACCCTCATGAAAATACTGCCGGGTTGGTAGCACTGCTAGGCTTTCAGATGAAGCTGAAATGGTAGCGGAGAGAGATGGGCATTTTTCCAAGGAGTGGCAGTGCTGACGGGCTCCAAAGGCCTTATTACACGTCCTCATCCCATAGCCACGAAGCCCCAGTCCTAACTCAAAGGCCTCCTCCCCACATGTCTATTACAAAGCAAAAGTCAGAATCACAGGGAGACACAGGACTCCAGCCCCCCGGCTTACAGCTCATTTTTCACCACTGTGTGGAATACGGGTAAAAACTCTCCGAGTAAACAAAAAGCAAGTCAGGTATCATTTTTACACTTTCACTGATTAGAAAAAACAGCCTTCCAGAAACTTCTCAGAGAATAAAAGATCTGGAGTTAAAACCAAGTCATAGAGAATATTTTTATTTAAACAAAACCCAAAGGTTTCCACAATGAAATTCTTCACTGATATAAAAAATTCACACTCATCATTTCATTACTAATTCAGCAGAAAGCAACCCAGGAGCTCTTCTGACTGACTCAAACACTGGGGAGAGAGAGTGGAAGTCATGACTTCAGGATGATACAGGGGGAGAAACTCTCTACCTACTGTATGTCCAGTATGAGTTTGTGTTCTTTAAAACTAAAGAATGAATTTTAGAAACAATGGAGGTTAAGAATGGGCTATATTTATTGAGAGAAAGAAAGCTGCTGTCTGAGAGACCCATAGAAGGAGTCCCAAGCAGGTTGCCAAAGACTCTGACTTTTCTAGGAACTTTTATGGAGTAAAATCATGAGGTTAGATGGATCCAAGGTGGGGAAAATGGGAACTGGCAAGGTGGGCATAAGGCGGGAACAGAACTGTGGTCAACAATCAGATTAATGGCTCAGGTAAAACTGATTACATTAGGAGCAAATGGGGGAGCAAGCCAAGTAGTGAGCGGGCAGGCTGAACAAAGCAAAAGTGAACAGCAGTGACTCTTCTGTAGTGGGTGGGAGGCTGAGTCCCGGCTTCCTCAGGGTGACAGACAACTATTTGGACTATCAATCCTTGGGATGTGGTTGTATTTGCTTTGCCTTTTATCTTGAGATCTGGCTCACAGCAGAAGGTGTTTGTCTCTTCCAAACTTCTGCACTGACTCCTTTTGTCTATATTTTTAACTAAATCAGCTGCCTGTAACAAGAACAGTCAAAAAACTTCGTGTCTGGACACCTAGAAAACAGGCCTGGCCTACCCTCAGCTTCAGGTATCCATCCATAGTCAGCATGGGACCAGAATGGTAACAGGCACAGGTGACTCCATCCTGCTTCCCCAAGGTCTTATTCATTATCTGCCACCAAGGAGAGGACAGTCCTAAGAGACCTGCAATTCCACTGGCATTGAATACCTGTCAAAATCCCTCATCCGGCCTGCTTAGCCAAGTCACCTCGCTGCCTGTGAAAGCACAGAGCAGACCTCATAGCTGCTTCCAGAGTAGGACACACAGGCAGGGGCCTCTCCAGAGGGGACCCACCCAGGAGAAGGGCTGCTGAGGCAAAGGCCCTCCCATCCCCCTTGGAACTGGAAATTGCAGGTTTCAAGTTTCTCCAGGGTTGAATGAAGAAACAGGTTTGGTGAGATCAAAGCCTCCCTTTAGAGTTTTGAAGAACTATTGAGAAAATTAGACCTTATTAAATGATCTTTAATTTACATAACTGAATTTAAATTGCCCACTGATTTTCTTTAATTTTAAAATAATGGTAATCTTACCTACTATTTTTTTTAACATCAAGGGAAAGTGTATTTGAACTATATGAATAGCAATGATACATTTTCTGAACATTTATATTCAACTGTTTGGTTTTTTTGTTTCACTTTTTAAAAAAAGAACCCTAGCCAGAGTGTTTCCCTGATAAACTACAGGGGACACAACCTGTCCACTGCCCACTTTTTGTGCCTGCAAACGCAGCAGGACAGTTTTAGTCAATAGTCACACTGAAGCCCCTTTTTGTAGCAATAGATACTAAAATTCAGTGTGAAGGACGAACTCTTAAAGTATTGTCAAGACAGGTATTTCCCCGTGTCACACTGGCTTATTAACTAGTGGTTCCACAGGATTTGTCTAAGGGACACCGCTCAAGGCTATTTTGAGATCTGCAACTTGACACAGCCACTTCAGGTCACTCTCTGGAGCAAAGGGCGTGGGGCACCAAGAGGAGCCCTGCACCCCAGCACAGCATGTATGTCACCCTCATCAGGGAAGGCTTCTCACCATCTAGAATGATGTATAAACTCTGAGCATTTATTATTAACTTCCAAATGAACTAAACTTATCCCTGCTCCCCTGATCTTGACTCCTGGTAGAGCCTAGGAAATGTCACCTGTTTTCCACAAATTAGTCACCATCTGTAAACAGGTCACCAGATGAGCAAACAATTCCGGGGCCAGGTCCTGCCATCACAACACTCTACTGCTGCTTCCTTGGGCTTCCCACTGTACAACCCGCAGTCCCCAAAAGACCTCAGTTTAGGTTCAGGGTGGGGGGCAGTCCTCCAAATTGATGTTAGTTAAAAAAAGAAGCCCTCTGAGGCTGTTCATTTATCCTGCTTGAAGACATTCTGGAGATCATTACACCAAACTGGTTTCCCCTTCACAAATTCCCTCTTATCTGCCACTTAATTCTTCTTTCTACATTAAAAGCCAAATGTAGATCTAAATATCTATAGTATTCAATTCCTTACCAGATTCCTACTTACTAACCCAGTGATGATGAACCATTTAGAGCTTTCAAGGATAACAAAAGGCCAGCGGTGGCACATGTGTCATAAATTTGCCATTAATCCATTCACCTTGACTCCAAAGTCATCCCTTGGCCATCATTTGGCCAACAGGCCACCCTCTTCATCTATCATCTAGAACGCCCCATTTCTCTCCCAAGTCCTTATTTGTCCAGTTGCTCCCCAACCATCCTAGACTTCATATATAGAGTCTGCACTCTGCTACTATTAAAACTTGATCAGGCCATGTGCGTCATTGCACAACTCATTCCCAGGTACCTAAAGCAGGGGGATCACAAGTTCAAAGCCAGGCTGGGCAACTTAGCAAGACTGTCTGAAAATTTAACAATAATTAAATAAAAAGGGCTGGGAATACAGCTTAATACCAGAACCGCCTGGGGTTTAAGCCCTAACACCGTGCAAAAAGGGAAAAAAAAAAAAAAAGAGTTGACCAGTTACATGAACTTGAGCAAGTTATTTAAGCTTCTTTAGTCCCTTGGAAAAAGAAAAATGGAGTTTAAATTCACCCCACTGTCTACTATGAGAATTAAATAAGGCAGCACAAACGAACATGAAGCAGAGTGCCTGACGCTAAAATCCAGGCAATGATAGCTCATTTTTCTGAAGGGTGCCTCCTCCCTGTATGACTCCTGTGCCCAATGCTGTTGTCCCTTTGACTCTTCCCTGATGTCTGGGTCAGCCTCTGAACAGAGCCACTCCAGTCCTCCAAAAATCACATTTACACTAAGAAAGCCAGCCTCTTCCATCAACCGCCTCTAAACAAAACGCACTTCTCAAATCTGTTAGGATGCAAACAAATCATTGGGCTCCTAAAAAACAGTCCTTAAAGCAGTCTGCTTTAAAAGAGAGATAGACAGACAGACAGAAAAACAGAAAGAGAGAAAAAGAGAAGGCAGGGCCGGGGCTATAGCTCAGGGGCATTGCACCTGCCTGACAATCACAAGGTCATGAGTTTGATTCTCAGTACCAAAAATAAAAAATAAAAAAGATTCTGATTCAACAAATGTGAACAGGTCCCTAGACTCCATAATTCTGCTACACAGTCACATTTCAAGCTACCAGGAACCAGAACCTTTTTCATGCTCTACTTTTCAAGAAGCCACTGCCTGGGTCACACCCCAGGTGAGCAGGATAACAGCTCCCACCCATTTTAGCACGAGGAGCTCGGAGGCAGTGTGTCCAGAAAAACTGTGACAGGCCTAGAGGAGGCTGCGTTCTTCCTCCTATGCCAGTGTTGCTCTCTCTGCATGCACACCCAACTTATCCTCGCCCAGGGAAACACACCTGTCCTCTGAAATGGCACCATCACTGTCCAACAGGATAGTCTCTAAGGATACCTGTGTCTGCTCTCATCTGCTCACTCCACGAGTTTCTTGGACAGACTCCAGCATCATTCTACATTTCAGAAAGGCTGCAGATGAAACATTCTTCTGGACTCCCTTCCACACCAGCACATGAAATATGACCTGGCTTTGAAATTTACTTCCTAAGCTCGGTACTACAGCAGGACTCTAGGCCAAGTGACTTATTTGCTGTCATGACACGTATTTGCACAATGCCTCCTCTAAATGCTTAGAGCTCCTTCAAAATAGTAGCCATGTCCAAATTCTGAAACCAAGTAAAAGTTATGTTCACCATATTCAAAGGTGAAAATAAAAAATAATTCTTTGAGAACTGCATACTTCTTAGCCTTAAATAAATGGTCTTCTACAGTAACCGAAAAAGTTAAGTTTAAAAGGGCTAATTTTATATAAATTCTATTCAGAAAAAGAAATTAGCAAGTTGTCTGAATGTGTTTTAAAGCAGGCATGTTTTCCTGGTGTGAAAAATAAAACAAAGATTAGGAATATATCATACCATTTCTTGTGAAATATAATCTGGACTCTTTGTATCAGCAGAATAAAAAGAAAAGTCATAGGTGAAGGTCTTGGTGCGTTCTCTTCCTGAGTCCCCAGTCCCTCCTTCTGGTATCTAGAAAGAGAGGAAGATCATAATGATAAGAATGACAAGAGAACGATAATATAAACGCTACTTTTTTTATAAGTGACTCACACTAGAGAAAGATGTATCCCTGAAACATACAAAATAATCATCATTTACAACATGTTTTCATATTTATACCCTAAGAAGTTCCTGCCAGTCTAAAAAATAAACAAATGTATAAAATTTAAATGCAACTTAAAACTCCCCCTACCTTACTAATCCAAACTGTGCTACAACCCAGGACTACTATTCTTGCCTTTCCTTTTATGATTCATGTATTACCAACCCAGCACTCTAAGCAGACACTTTTCCTATCTCCAGTGATTTTACTGTGCGCTCCACTGAAATCACCAGGACAGGGCTTTGCACAACTCCAGGACGCTATTCACACAGACTGTGATGGGGCTGGGATCCCCCAGAGCCATGCCACTTACCGGCCCCTGTGGAAACCTCAGGTCAGATGTCTCCGCAGGAAGCTTCCCTAGTGCACTATATCCAGGGGTAATTTCCCCCATCTGAGATGAGAAAGTCTCCTAGGACACATCATACTCTGAGTTTATTACAGATATTCTTATGTCTTGTCTACCATGCTGTTTGCTTCAAATGAACGCAAAAATCATATTTAAAAATCTCTAGAACCTCAAAATCTCACATAGTTCCTTGGACATAGCAAAATAGTTTCCATGAGCACCATATTTTTCAACATAATTTATATATTGTAAAGAGACAATTGGTAAAAGATTAACAATACATAAAACATTTTTAAAAATCTGAGCATCTATTCCAGTCACTCAAACATCAGAGGAGGAAATGCTTATAAAACACAAAAACTAACCGAGTAATCAAGGCAAACGAATGCCACAATGTGCAAAGGAAGTGCATACAAGGCAAAGAAAAGGGAACCAGCAGCAGAGAATGGACAGAGGGTGACTGAGGGAAAGCTGAGAGGGTACAGGAGCCCAGGGGAGGAAGACAGCATGGCTGCAGAGCCAGCTTGCAGGGACTGCAGTAAACGAGAAACCAGCAGATGCCTCGAGTCGAGGGACATCACAATGCAGATGGGGCCACCGCATCATCGAGAGCACCATGCACCAGGAAGCTGGGGGCTTCCCCAGCATCCACTGCCGGACACCAAGTTCTGCTGCTCTGAGAGTGGATTCCGTGTGTCCCGGCCCTTAGGCCTGACTTAGAAGCAATCCACTCCTCAGTGATCGTGAGGTTGGCCTGTACTTGGCCATGGAGCAGCAGGCTCAGAAACCGAAACCCATGAGGACAAAGATCAATGCAGAAGGCACCTCAGCTCCAAAGCACCCGCTTTCCTTATTAACTTTACACCCCGCTTGCCTCCAAGTGAAAAGCACTCATGGCCACTAAGAAATGTGCTGACCAAAGAAACAAATAGGATATTTTAAGAGCAAAATGAAGAATTTGCCATTTTAGGAAACCGTAGTTATCTATTTTTTTCCAAAAAATAATGCATGTTTTTATTATTTTGTTTTTTTGAGCTTTCATTTTCTGAGTTCTGAATAATGTAGTATTGGCTCTTCAACTGCAGGCTGACTCTACCTCAAGCACCCAGGATGAAAATGCCCGTGTCCAGCTGGCCTACTCAGGAACACAGAGCAGGGTGACTCTGTGGGTCTGTCTTCCAGATCAAAGAAACCAGTGATGGAGAGGAACCAGTTTCTGCTGCAGGACTGAGCCCTGGTCAAAAGCAAGCCAAGCTGGCTCACTTAACTGAGGACAGAGGGGTACATAAACAGCAAGAAGCCACCCCACCCGGAGAGCCACAGGGGGGCACATGTTGCTGCAGGAGGCCCAGGTCACCACTTGCCTTTAAGTTTGTGATTGTTGTCTTGCTTTTCTCCATTTGAATAATGAACTTGGCCTCCAAGTCCTTTTCCCTGCAATGTAAATGATACAATATTGGTTAGGAGAGAAGAAACTATAAAATTTTATTTCATTTACTTTTTACATTTGAGGCTTTTGTTACAAAAAAGCATCTAAAGAGTAATCCTAACAGCATTCCCTTCAAATCCTTACTAAGTACCCAGCTTACAAAGTCTGACTTTGGATTTCCGGTCTACACAACAGTGTAAAAGCAGTGTCACTCGGTAGGAACCATACTTTGGGTTCCAGTTCTTTCCCAGGTTAGGGGTACATCTGATCCACACCTTGCCTGTAATGTTGAGCAGCAGCAGCAACCACAGCCCCTGCTGACAAGGGTGAACTAGCCACAGGACTCCAAAATATCTTGTGTCACTCAGCTCTGATGAGCCATAGGCAGGGTGCATTCAACACATTTTCAACTGTGGACATTTTCCACTTTGGGACATAATCCACTGTGAGTCAAGGAGTACCAGTATATAAAATGCTACCACTTAATCAGAAAAATAACAACCTAAGCGTTTTTTAAAAGGAGAAACAAGAAAATAGAGTAGAAGAGGCGGTAATAGAAACCAAATTTCTTCATATGACTTAATCTGTAAATCATTTTCAGAGAGATGAAAATAATGTAAGCAGAAATAATAATATTATAAAATGATCTGACACTCAAATGTAAATTGAAGCAAATGAAGCAAACTGCACATCATAAAGCAGAGAACTATCTCAGTTATGACTATCCGGAGTCTGACTATGCAGTGTTGTGACATTTATCCTCAAGTTTTAGTAACTGCCTTTGGTGTTTGTTCTGTGACTTTTTGTGTATATTAAGGGATAATACACAATTATGTTGGCATCACTGAAAGAAGTCCTGCAAATTGAAAGAGACAATACATAAAATTAACATATTTAAATAAAAATTAATAATCCTAACTCTGAACAGGAAATAGTAGCTGAACTTTACCTAAACTGAAAAACAAGAAAAACTCACAGGTTTTCCCTATACCAAAAATCTGAAACCCAAATGGCCAAAATTCAAGTCTCTGAGCATCAGCATTAAGTCATGAGCTGAAAGTCAAATTAAAAAATGCAGGCACATTAAAAATAGTGTAATACCTTCAGGCTCTCGCCATGGTATTTAGGAAACAAATTAATTTCATAGTTAACTTTTTTTTTCCATCACTAAAATAATCCAGTGTGTATATGCAAATATACCAAAGCCAAAACAAAAATCTGAACTCCGAGACATTTCTGATCCGAAGCTTTTCAGGTAAGGAGTGTTCAAGCTGTGTCCATAGAGACAACCATGCGCTGGACACACCCCACTGTCCTGGGCTATGGCCAGGCTGCATATTAAACTCAGAATACAGTTAATGTGTACAAGTAACAAAACTTCCTCTCAGTGACAGCCTGCTACCCCCAGGACTCGATGACACACAGACTGTCCCTTCTGCGTTGCTGGCTCTCCTGTGCTCTCATCAATCTCTAGCCCTATGGAAACAGCTGCCATGCTGCAAGGATCGCTAGGAGACCCCTGTGCTGGGGACTAAGGTCTGCTCCACACCACTGAGAGCGCGGAGATGCGCGCTGCCAGCTGAGTCAAAGGGTCACTATAGCTGCTGCCACCCAACTACAGCCTTGAGGGGCCCAGAGACCAGGTCCATAGAAACTATGAGATTACCAATGCTGCTAGAAGTTTTGGGATAATGTATAACACAGAGAGAAAACTAATATGCAAATCATGCCAAAAGGCTTGAGGTGCCAAATGAATAAACTGCCACTGGCAGTTGAGAAATTTGAGCAAAGGATTCAAAATTGCAACAAGAACACAAACGACATGAAGAAGTATGTAAACTCTTAATTAAAAACTAGGATCTCAATGGTCCAGGTGGAAGACCCAAGAAACAGTCTTAATGAAAACTTGAAAATAATGGGTAAGTAAAAAGAACCAACCACACACACCACAGTTCCTAAGTAATTGCTTATTTCAGGGCTGTTTCTATTTTAGGGATATACCAGCAAAAGATGAAGAAGGTCTGACAATTAAAACACCATTCATTCTTTTGCTACCGTGGGTGATTTGATGGCACTAGGGCAGTAATGGGGAACCTTTTAGAGATGAGTGTCCAAACTGCAACCCAACATCCACTTATTTAACACAAAGTGCCAACACTGCCATTAAACCTGAATGCTTGGCTGCAAGGACAATGCTGGCATGACCTGGCTCTCTGGGATGAACTGGCTTGCACACCAGGCTCATCACTATGGCCCTAGGCAATGCCATTGTGGGCTGCTACCCTGACCTCCACAGACAGCCATGCCTAATGGGTGTCCTACTTGGAGTCCCACCACCACCACACAGGACTCCCGTCCCTGTCCCACCTCGAACCAGAAGAACCCAGGAGATACTTATAGAAAAGCCAATGGAATCTCCCAGCTGGCTGAAACACTGACCCTTTGCTGTATGCATTCCTCACAGACTGGGGGATGGGAGTCCAAACATCAAAATATGACAGGATAAAGAAGGCTCTAGTATCTCTTTTCTCCATGCCCTGTTGACCAATCCTGCTCAGCTCCTACACTCCACTGGAGACTCTGGCCTCTTTCTGCTTATGGTCTTTCTTCGCTCCCAAGGCCTTTAAGTGCTAAGGTGGCTTCAAGGTCTGTATGACACCCACAAAACAGCTTTACTCCCATCCCCCTAAGCACCTACTGACTGTGGCCACATCTCCCTACCCCACAGATACAGGTCAGATCACAGGTTCCTCTCACTTTTGGCCTTTTTGCCTGAGGTTCTGCCCCTTCCATCCACACTCCATCCTCTGCTGTGAAGACAGGGACTTCCTGAAGCTCCCCAGCTTTAAATCCCTTCAGCAATATCGTGAAGCTACAGGATAAAGTCCAGTCTCGGTGGCATGCAAAATTCTTCCTAACCTGACCCTGTGATCTGACACTAACTCATATTGTCATTCCAGCACTGCATCCTATCCAGCCAGTTCCCAGTCCCCCTCCCAATCAAGCCTCTAGCTCAGCCTATACTCCCTCTGGAGAGCACCCACCGCCCCACCACCTGGTTAGACAGCACTGCTGCTTGCCTTGCTATAGGACCATGAACCTAAGAGAAAGGATGCTGTCCGTCTGCTTTAACATCCTCCGCCTGGGCACAGTGCCCACAGTTCTGCCATGCTTCAGCTACTTGCTTGCCTGTGCTGGACAAGCTGTCTGAATTATTAATGAGCCAGCCTCCCAGCAATGCCCATCATCCACCAACACTGAACTCCTACTGACCCAACACTCTTGGTTCTCGCCTCCCCCATGCAAGACCCATTTCCCACAGGCCACCTCCCCCCCCTCCTCCTAAAGGGCTTTCAGAAATGACATTCCTGCCCCTTCTCAATGAATCCCACTCATAGGGGCTTGGCCCCTGCTACGTTGGTTCTCTGATCAGTCCAGAGAGCCCAGAGAAGCAATAATCTTGCTCCATACCTACAGTGTCCGTCACACATGGGCAGCGCTGTCCAGTGCTATGCCTTTTCATCCTCAGCCAAGCCGTACAATGCAAGGCACTGAGCGCTCTCTGGCCTCAGGTCAATATCCTTTGACATTTAAGAAACATGGGAAATAAATCTTGACATTTTTCTTATATTCAGGAAAATAAATAATCCTAAAATATTATTTGAACATTGATTTGATAATAGAGCAAAAATGAACTATGTCTCTCCCCAGCCACTCTAGTAAATTGGGTTTCTCAACTGAGAAGTCAATTATGGTTCTGTCATATAAATAATTAACTTATTTGAAAGGTCTGGAAACTACATCATAAGATGTCACAAATGAGCCAGCTGAAGTATACTGAGTTATAGATCAATATCAGAGGGTTAGGGAAGGAAAAGACTTAAAATATCCAATCAGAGAAGGAGATAAACTATGTCAGTTTTCAAGTCATGTGAGCAGGAAAATACTTACTGGGAAAAAGAAAAGCCTTTGTTCAGGACGCTATATTCCACGAGCCAGTTCCAAATATGTTTTTTAAATGTTTTAAATTATTCATCAAGTCGATTTCATCCGTTCAGCTAATGGTGTTTGGTTATTCCATAATACATGGAACACTGGAAAGGGTAGAGATCCCCTTCTCCAACTTAACCATAAATGAGGCAGGAGATTCGGGCTGATGCAACTGAGTTGGTGGAATGTGTCAAAGGTCATAAAAACCAGGGGACATGCACAGAACACAGGACCCAAGATGATTCCATTGCTCCTGCCACACAGAACCAACCAAAACCTAATATTCTCAATTCCTCATTTGAATCTGACATTGACCTGCTCTTTCCAGGTACAGTGTACCTCTTTTCCACCTCCGTACATTTTTGCGCCTTTTCTGTGTGTCTTGTCCTGTTCTTTGTTCAGGACACTATATCCCACCAGCCAGTAACAGTTCTACAGAAGAGCACACTGGTGCTTCTCCACCCTGAACTCTGAAGCCAGCCTCCTTCTCCTCCTCCTAGCACCTTAAAAATTGCATAATATGAGCCAGTATTTAACTGCCTTCATCTCAATGGCAGGATACATAATAGCAACAATAAAATTTTTCAAACTAGTTTTATTTTTCTAACATAAAGAACACACATTCTCCATTATATTATGGAAAGAAGGCCAAGCAACACTGTCAGTGAGAGAAATAGTAAAGCAGCAAAAGAGCACGCTGAAGATGATCAAGTCTGCGGTTCCATAAATACAGGATGCCAGAAGAATATGTGTGCCTGCATTTCCAGATACATAAGAGCTGCTCAGAAAGAGAACACAGGAAGCTGCCTGCAGTGGCTGCTCTGGAGAGGGCGGCAGCAGGGCCCTGGGGAAGAGAAGATGAAGTTACCCATCTTGCTACTGGAAATATTTTAGCGAGATTTAATATTACTTTCATAATTAAAATAAACTTAGCTAATTAAAAGACAAAGTCTCCTCCTTTGAGACAGTGGATGGCTGCTCCTGCTTTAGACCATGGAGAAGTCAGGGTCCTGGC